GTGTCTCATGTGCGGGCCGGGGCTGCTGCTGCTGCCGGATGGCACGTGCACGAGCGCCTGCCCCTCCGGCATGTACACCACGCCGAGTGGCGATGCGTGCCTGCCCTGCCACGCCACCTGCGCCGAGTGCTCCTCGCACCGGTCCAGCGCCTGCACTGCCTGCCCAGGCACGCATGTGCTGGACCGCGGGCACTGTCGGGAGGCGTGCCCGGCCCTGGGGTTCTTCCAGGAGGGCAACGTCTGCACGCCCTGCCACGGGTCGTGCCTGTCGTGTGGCGGCCCGGGCGCCGACCAGTGCCAGCTGTGCCCCCGGTCGCACATCTTCCACCGGGACCAGTGCCTGGCGGACTGCCCGCCGTCCAGCACCCCGCTGGGCGGGTCGTGCGCCGAGTGCGACGACTCCTGCACCGCGTGCACCGGTCCCAACTCGAACCAGTGCACCGCGTGCGCGCCGACCGCGCCGCAGCTCTGGGACGGGGCCTGCCTCGGGGACTGTCCGGGGGGCACCTTCCCGGAGACGGGCAGCAGCATGTCGCTGGACACGTGCCTGCCCTGCGCGCCCTACTGCCTGGAGTGCGGTGGCCCGGCCGGGGCCCAGTGCACTCGGTGTATCGAGGGCCTGGTCCTGCACCCGGTGCATGGGTGTGTCTCGTCCTGCGGCCGGGGGCTGGTGCTGATGGGCAACCAGTGCACCGCCTGCAGCCCCGGGTGCCGGCACTGCGAGGGGTCTCCCGAGCACTGCACCCAGTGCCCGGAGGGCATGCTCCTTGGGACCGCGGCCGGGACCTGCGTGCCGAGCTGTGGTCAGCAGGAGTTCGCCGACCTGGCGACCCCCTCGCTGGCGCGGTGCGTGGCCTGCCACGCGGACTGCGTCTCCTGCGAGCGTGGCTCCGGGTCGGAGCACTGCACCGTCTGCCGGCCGGAGCTGGCTTTCTTGGTGGGTGTCGGCTGCGTGGCCGCCTGCCCGGAGGGCCACTTCAAGCGGGAGGGCCCTTTGCCGGGTGGGCACGAGTGCGCCCGGTGCGCGGACACCTGCGCCGCCTGCACCGGGCCGGAGATGGCCCAGTGCACGCGCTGCGTCGGTGACCGTCTGCTGATGGCGGAGGCCGGGGTGTGCCTGCCTGCCGGGGAGGACGCCTGCCCGGCCGGGTGGCACACGGATGCCGCGGCCCGGCGCTGCCTCCGCTGCCCGGAGGGCTGTCTCTCGTGCGATGCCTCGGTCGATGACTGCGAGCAGTGCCAGCTGGACCGGCAGCTGATCCGGCTGCTGGACCGGGCGCCCACGGAGGGCACCCCGGTGGGCTCGGGCCCGCGCACATGCGTGACCGAATGCCCGGCCGGGTGGTTCACGCCCGAGGGCGATGCCGGCGCCTGCTCCGC